AAAAAAAAAAAAAAAAAAAACGATCCAAACTGGAAACCCAAATGTTTATCAAGGGATGAATGGACAAAAAACTGTGATATTATCCAAACAATGGATATGTTTAACAATAAAAATGGAATAAATAACATTTACACACCAATAGCCTAATTTAAAAAACAGTACACTTAGCAAAAGCTAATTACAAAGGTGTGTGTTTTCATATGTGTGAATTTCTAGAACAGAAAAATGTAATCAATAAGAGACAGGAGATATGTGACTGCCTTGGGTCAAAGGCAGCAGAAAACAGGCCATGGAAAAGGGCAATGGGAATATTCTAAATTTTAATGGGCACAGATTACATGGGTATTTAGATTTGTCAAAACTCAAACTGCACAGGTAAGCTCTGTGAATTTCACTTAGTAAACTAAGTCTTAATGAAAAAAATCAATAGATATAGTTATACACATAAAAACACATCTGTGCCAAAATAGTGGAAGCAGCAGAGTTGTGTTTTTTACTACGATTATTTATATTTTTAAGGTTTTCTTCAATAAATAAGCACCACTTATTAAAAACAAACAAACAAATCAGGCCCTCAAAGCAGGCCTCATTTGAAAGATGACACTTGAAGAAAGACCTGAAAGGAGTGAAGAAGGAGCCCTCTGTTTGGTGCATGGAAAGAGCCTTTCAGGCACAAGAAACTGGACTGTGAAAATTGTTTCCAGAAGTGATGGAGGGGACTCACATTTCACCAGGCTCCCTGCCTGTGATGTTTAGTATGGGGCACAGCAGGGCTGGTCAGAGGTCTATAGCCACCCTTCAGAGAGAAGAGAAGCCCATAGAGCAAGGGGAAGCAGCAAAACTAGAGAGAGCTGTCAAAGCTAAATATCTCTTGATGCAAACCTAGCACTGTCTGTAATCAGACTGAATGTAAGGTGCAGGAGAAAGAGGTTGCAGATGACTGAGAAGGTTTAGATCCAGGTGAGAAGGTTCAGAACCAATAGAATTGGTTCACGAAGACAGAGATTATGGGATATGATGGGTTTTGTGGACAGAGGAAAGCAGGTCTGTCAGACATATTAAATTTGAGTGAAACTGAAGGTATAAAATTGGTAATCATCATCAAGTAGAAAGTATTAAAGAAAAGAAAACCAAAGAACAAGTGTCAGGAGGTTGGTAATTTCTTAGTATGAACTAGATATGAAGTAAGCTGTGAAACTATTCTTAGAAACCTGGAGTGATTTCAAAACTAAAATCAAGAAAGTCCTTTCTATTCTTTGTATTGATGGACCCTTTGAAATTAGCCCTGATTCTGTGAGATAAAATGGACATTTTGATAGATCATAATCTGGACATGGAAATGACAGAGAAGTAACTGTATCATTAACTATTATTCTAGTTCTGTATTTTTATAATCAATACTACGGGTCAAGTTTCTCCATCTTTGGAACATTTGGTAATAAAGGTGTAAGGATATATTCAGAATACTTCTTTCCAAACATCACTAGATTATCTACTAAGGAAGAACTCTATCTGTGTCCTCCAATGAGACTCATCAGTCACCAGATGACACTCAATGCCAGTGAGGTAATGATGTACTACATGGTTGTCTGATTTTCAGATGTCACTTCAGAGGATGATGATAAACTACAGGTCTGACAACTTGCTTTCCATTTTAAGATATTTCTAAAACTTTTTCTTGTTGTGACAGGCAACCAAATTGATTAAACTCAGTCATGGGGTTTGACACTACATCCAGCAGACTTCTATTTGTTGATTGCTATTGATTTTCTTTGATACTTCATTTAAAAATCAATAGTTGGAAAGAAAAATAGGCTTGGTTTACACATATTTAAACATACTACTGCATGCTGAAGGAAGCACAAGTTTGGCAGGACTCTGGCATCCAATTATAAGAAGAGCTCTTAACAGGTGAAAGCAAGGGCTTTAGATCGATACACAGTTTCTGTCTCAATCAAAGAAAGTGGCTATAAATTAGGCTCATCAGTGTTATTTCCAAGGCTTTTTGAAAGCAAACAACTTTAACCTTTTTTTTTTTTTTTTTTTTGGTCTTTCTTGTATTTACTTTAAAAGATATCTTATGAATACTCTGTTTTGCTTTGTTCTCAAAAATATTTAGGTACCTGGAGTTCATCCGAGCTTTTATCCTTTTGGCCTTTTTTTTATTTTTTTGCCTCTCTTCTCCATCTTTCACAGACTCCAAGGGAGCTGAACTTTCAACCACAATGTCAACAATATACTTCTTTAAAGAAAGATGCTCCTGCAAGATCAATAAATAAAATAATAACAATGATGAGTTTAAAAATATACAATTCCAATACACAAGACCAATAAATATAAAAGACTATACAGATGAAAAGTAATTGATATGAAATCCTGGTTTCCACAGTCACTTGGGAAAATTTTGAAGAATTTATTTTACTTGAGATTTCACTGCCTCATCACACCTTCACTGAACATCGATAGTATTAAAGGCTGAAAATACATGGACTGGATGCAATTCCCGTCCTCAAGTGTACTGTAAAAGGAAAGGTATATATATTTTTCTTTTCTTCTGTTATTTATGAACACTTATGCTCCTATCTGGGGCCAAGTCTTCCTCATATACACAAGATCTCATTTCTTCTTTTGTATATGAGTATTTCTCCTATTTTTAGCACCACTAATTTTCCCCTTTATACTTAAATCATTTGAATTTTTTCCACCTAAAGTATCTCAAAAGAAACCCCTTTCAGCTACCCCCCTTTTTTTAGTACCAGGGATCAAACTCTGGTCCTTGCATTTGCAAGGCAGGCAACGGAACCACTGAGCTAAATCCCTAGCCCCTGGCTACTACTCTTTTTTAACAAGATACATTGAAAATTTATCCTCTCCGTCTTTACTTCCTTAATCCTCATTCTCTCTTGAACTAATTTCAGCCAGTTTTTACCTTAAAATTTTTAGCATGGTACAAACTGTCCTTCAAAGCCACCAAAACTAATGGCTAACTCTTAGTTCTCATCTTGTTGAAGCCTCAGCCCTAAATATTACTCCTCCCTCGCAGAGAAGCTTTCTTCACTTGGCTCCCAGTCATTACACTGTCTTAATTCACTATCCCTTCTAAGTCTTCTTTGCTGGATCTTCCCCTCCCCTTCCCTCTTTTTTTTTGGGGGGGTATGGGGGCAGGTGAGAACCACTGAGCTGAATCCCTGACTCTCTTCTTCTTGAATTCAAATACTGGTTTATGCCAGAGCTATCATCAGAGCTTTCTTTTTCTCTCTCCATACTCATCCCTCAAAAGAAGTGGCTTAAAATATTATTTACCCACGAACAATGCTCAAATTGTATCCCTACTCCTGACCTTTTCCCTAAACTTCAAATATTTACATAAAAATATCTTCTCAAAAATCTCCTATGTAGAGAATTTCCATGACTAGCATTTCCAATATAAAATGTCCATAAACTCTTATGCTCTCTATAAAGTTGCCTAGAGTGTTTCCTATTTCAATAAATGTAAAAACTTGCATAAATGCACACATTTAATAATGAGCAAGTCATATTTAGTCTCTTTTCAAGTACAACCCAAATGTCAACCCCTAATTCAACTACACAATTCTGGCCACCATCACCTAACCTAAGTCACTTGTGACTCTCTCCCACCTGTATCACTTCCATAATCTTTTAACTGATCCCTCTATAAAAGCAGCCAGTTAGTATTTTAAAATAATTATCACATCACATAATTCCACTTATAAAAACTTGCTTTCTCATCACACTTAGGGTAAAATCCAAACACTCCACCATGACTAACAAAATCCTGCATCACTGACCTCTCTGACCCCATACACCCCTCTCCTTTTAAAAAAAGCATCCACAGTGGTCTTTTTGCTCCTCCTCATATTCTTCAGAAACATTAATACCTCAGGACACTAAGTGGTTCTCTTATGCAAGAATATTCTTCTCTTAGAAATTTCCATGGCCTCAGCTAAAATGACCATTCAATCTTTAAAAAATACCCTCTATTATTTGCTATCTCCCTACTTTGTCTCTTTTTCTTTACAGGATTTGCCTACATCGCACATTCATTACAGCCTCCTTTATTAGAACGTAAGTTTCTCAAGAACAATGACTTTCTTTCCTTCATGGATGTTTTTGTGTCTAGGACTATGCCTGGCACATGGCAAGCACTGAACAAAAATGTGTTAAGTGAATGAATAAAAAGAACATAATGTAACAAAAGTACTAATAAGAGCTTAGACAACATACACTACATGCTTCATATAAAATCATTCATTTAGTCCTTAGAACACACTTATAAGGCATGTATTTTAACTATGAGAATACTGAGATATAATAAAACAACTTGTCCAAAGTTAGATCAAAATCATGACTGAGTAATTTTGCAAACAGACAGCCCAAATTCAAACCTAGACAGTATGATTAGAGTCCATACTCGTGAGTTTTACCTTAGAGATAGAAGTGGAGCTGAGTCTGTATTGCACAACTGTGTTTACTTTTCAAATCATCAGCATACCAAAAGAGAAGTCCTCCTAAACCAAAAATTCACAGCCAAAAGAAAAAATATTCTCTTACATAGAGAAAGGATTATTTTCTCTGATAAACTAGGCCTATTATATATTATCTTTATATTTTGTAATTAATCAAAAACAATGAATGATAAGTAAACCCATCTACACATAAGTCAACTTTAAAAAAATAACCTGGTTCTTTCTTTTCAAAGGAAAGGGAAGAGAAAAGGAAGGGGCCCATTTCCCATAAGATGTATGGTATAATGCAAGTTGTGTGTGGACTCGCCATCCACATTATCACTTATGAAACACTTATTATGTGATTAGGAAAGGGCTGGATAAATTACAAACATTATTTCTTGTAATCTTCATAACATTAAAAGACAAGTGGCAGTATGTTTACATTTTACAGATGCTTAACAAATACAGAAAAACAACTCAAACATGTTTGGTATCATGTTCATGATCACAACAAATGTGAAGATCAAAACAACAACTGGCTCTCTTTATAAGATCAATTTTTTTCACTATTCAACATTCCTGCCCCCTAAATAGTTCACATAGGCTAGTCTCTGACATGTAATTTCTATTATTACACTAAAGAAAAAGAGTATTCTAAATGACATCTTTGACTTTTTGAAAGGTCCAATTATACTATTTTCAGCTATGTATAAATATAATTTACATGTCTAATAAAAACCACTAAGGATCCTAACAAACAGTGGCAGGCACCATATTTTGATTCTACCTATAATTATCCAAAGGCACACTTTTAAAATAGACAATTCATTTACACATGCATTCACACAAGCATACACATACAATACTTACATTAATTTTTTTTAATCTTAAAAATGATTAATATATTTTGGTTGACTTAACAGTAACAACTTTCTTAATACAAAAGCATTCTATATTATAGAAAAGATGGATAAATAAAATTAAGATAAAACCTCCTACAATTCTAATACCTAAAAAGTAACACCTAATATTTTGGAGTTCATCATTCTAAAGTACAACATTCTTTGCATATGTATATATTTTTATAAAAATAGAATGCAACATTTATAACCATTTGAACTCATTTTTCATATAATATTCTAAACATATATACTGACCATAAGTTAATATTTTACAATATAAGCTTATAGCTATAAGGTATTCCATTTTGTGGCTACACTAATTTTATTAACACCTTATTATTAGACATTTGAACAATTTAAATTTTTTAATACAATAATTAATAATATAACGGGCTGGGGATTTAGCTCAGTGGTCCGCTGACTGTCTCACAAGTGCAAGGTTCCAAATTCCATCTGTGGTATCAAATAAAACAAAACAAAACAAAAACAAAAACAAATATTCCTAGAGTTAATATTTAAACACAAAGCCAAGTATTCCTTTATGATTAAACCACCAAAATTAAATTCTTAGGTCACAAATGGCACATATTTTAAGGCTTCTGTAAAATATTCCCAAATTGAACAACAAAAAAAGGGAATTAATTTATGTCCTCACAAGTAGTTTGCCAATGCCTACTATTCCTATTTTGTTTGTAATTCTGCCAATTTGTTAGCCGAAAAAGTGGTATTTATGTTTGACCATTTGCTTATATTTTGTCTTTCTGTGACTTAGAATGAGTCTTTTGTTCAGCTTTCTATAAACATATTTCAAGTTTTTATGTATTTGCTTCTAATGGCTTATATTATTTTTCTACTTTTTGTAAGAGCAAGATGACAAAATATCATTAAAATATCTTTTATGATCAAGGAGGTGCACTGTTGAGCGTGATACAATATAACCAACAGCTATTTCTCTATTAAAACTGTGAAGGAACTAAAAAGGAAGATTTTGACATGGCTCCTGAAAGAAAGAATGTATGTAAAAAGGTTTTACAACCTTGATCGAGTAGTTCACTAAAATCCTTATAAAAGAGAATTCTGAGAATAATGACAGCAGAGTTTTAGATTCTGAATTCCTATATAAAAACCAGAAGATTAGTTTATAGGAAAGGAAAAAGCATAAAAATATTCACAATAAAACTAGGGGATGAGGAATCTCAAAAAGAATAGGTTTCAGTGTCTTTGGAGGAGAAATCAAAGGGAGATGACAAGGTGAAAAAAATGAAAGCTAAAAAAGGAAAAGTTGCACTAGAGAACCGAACAGAGAACAGCACTTAAAGTGAAAGGGGTCTAGGATGCAGAGGCAAGAGAGGGAGCAGTGGGTGCCTGCAGTGAGGTCTGTGGGGAGGAAAGGCAGTCCCTTGGCATGGCTCTCCGCACCAAACCACAGGCCTCCTCCTGGACAGGCCTCACAGGAAAAACTGATTAGCAAATAGGGCATGATGAAGACAAAGGGGAAATGCATAGATGAAAGCAGAACAGAAAACAGATCAGTAAATTTCAGGAAGCAAGTCATGATACTTTCCACAAAATGAATGCAACAGGAACCACTAGAGGTTAAAATAGCTACCCTGAAATATCTCCTCCTAAAAGGTTTATAAAACTAGCCAGATATGGTGTGTCAATTTGAGTAAGAAATACTCAAATTGGATCAGCATAGATCTGCATGTGGAAGACCAACTCTGGTATAAAAAGGAAATGAAGAAGGAAGGAAGGTTTGCTTCTGTTTCTTTCACAGTACTCTATCTAGTCTTAGCCTTGGACTCCATCTCCTGGCTTTCAGCACAGATTGTTCAGCCTCCAGCAAAGAGCTTTTGAGCCTTCCCTACCAGCCTCCTGATAAGGACTCA